CGACATTACATTCAAATGAGCGAAAATCATTCGTGAAGTTTAAACAGCTGTATCGCTTACCACATTCCGCTCGCGCGTTTTCAAAGAGGGTCAGGAAGAACGAAAGAGAGAGAGAGAGAGAGAGAGAGAAAGAGAGTCGCTTTCTGTATTCCGCCGAATAAAGCGTCGTGCATTTGCGGAGAGATGCGGGATTACATGAAAATGGACACGTTTTTATTTTAGATATATGTACTGCGCGAGAAACGCATAATTCGGGACTTATCATCGCCCCGTGAAGGCATTTCTATATCACCGTGCAAATAGTGTCGACGTACTTAGGTGCAGTGGACCGCACGCGCGCGCGTGTCATTATACATTCCCCTTTGCTCGCGCCAGAGGTGGATGCATGAGCAATGACGAGGCGTGCGACAAAAAACTAAGAACCGCACACACGTACTGCTGGTACGATGTGCCAAAGAGTACGTGTCGGCTGGGCATATTTATCTACGGTACGCGTTCACATTTCGCTACTACGGAGATTCCGGTACTCGCGCGCGCGCGAACCACGGAATTGCTAGTTTAATACCGATTCCGAGTGCAAATACGCACGGGATGTGTGCCGGCCGACACAGTGGTTTGCTGTTTGCGAATTAGGTGCAATCAAACGCAAAATCACACCGGCAAATATCACACGATTTACCAATCGCAGACTCCCGCAATTAATTGCTCGGCACGATGCGCTATTAGCAAAGACGGTTCGGCGAGATTTTGCGAAGATACAGCCGGGCAGCCTCGCAGACGCCGTATTTGCGCATGTGTCTCATCGCTGCTGTTGGCAATCTTTCTCTCTTTCTTTCTCTCTCGTATTTGCGCCTCGGTCATTACCGCGTAAAAATTTGCTATTTTTAAATCTGAAAGCTATTTATTTTATCACGTGTCGCGCGTTGTTCGACGTGTCGTTGAATTATTACCTTTCGCGCGCGATGTGAGAGAAAAAATAGCATTTTAAAAATATAAAAGAGGGTATTTAAAGATAAATAAATAAATGCCGCACATTGTTACCTATTGTAAAAATTTTGTATTTTTAACGCTGCAGCGGAATTATGCTCGGGAAATAATTTTTGCAACTTTGTATTCGTGTAATTGTTGCTTAATCACATCCCTTTATTTGTATGTCAATTGAATTATTTTCCACACAGTGAAAAACATTTAAAAAATTAAAGTTAAACAATTTTTATGTTAAATTTTTAACACACCTATGTGTGTTAATTCAACATATTGTGTTTACGTTATGAAAAGAAGATTATTTTGCCATCTACCTGCATCCTCGAATTTTCATAAGATTTCAGCTATAAGAATGCGTTAAATATGAGTAATTCACATTTCATTTCGTGTAATCACTTCATAAGAATAAGTCGATCTCATTGGGAAATCCGTCGTCGAAATGGTTGAAACGCGACAGAAACCCGACATGTTAGTAAAAGCACGGTAAAAGGAGGAATTTATCGGCGAGACTAAGCCGTCTCCGGTCGTGAATAAAATATAGCCAGCGCGTCAATCATACACTGTCGGCCGTCACCTCGAAATACGAAATACGCAATAATTGCTCCGCTGATCCCTCCGAGTTATGTACTTAACGAATCAAATTCTTCCTCTCGTTAATGTCAGTGAATTGACGTTTAATCTTTAAGGAGCACCTGTTTTAGCGATTAATTCGGCCTCTCCATTACCGGATTGCCCGTCGCGTGCATCATTCAGCGAATTACGTATCTAAGGACTTTACAATCAATTCATAGCGCGAACGAGAATGTACGTAACGTGTGCACGGTTAAATAATGACGTGCCAACAGGCGCGACGGTGAGTACACGCGTAAAGGTGGGACGAGCAAGGTCCGTCAGTCCGGAAATTCGCTTGTGTTTCCTTAGGCGAAACCGCGAAGTGTAGGGGGTAGTTGTTCACGTGACTTCAAATGACGGCGCGAGACGGATACATTGATATCTAAAAACACACAGCTGTCGTAACTAAAACCGGACGGACGGAGCGACGCACAAATGAGGCAAACGGTAATAGAGCGTTTAAAACGTGACTTTTAATAACATTATTATCAGCCCGAATGCGACGAATCTATTTAAGTCATCCAATACGAAACGCCCTCGCGATCGTTTCTAGACATTCTATTGATTAGAACTGATTGCCCGACAGAAATCGGGCCACATTTAGTCTGCTCCGATACTTTTTTTTACCACTTTCGATACAAAATATCGCGAAATAAAATCGTGACGTGCGCGCGAAATTTCGCACGCGGTTTTTAATATTTCACAAATACCCCCGAAGCGAGTCTTGCGCAGAGATCGATCGTTGCTCGGACTTTCGAAAGTGTGTGTAAATTTAATCGGCCGGCGAATTAGGCCTGTCGAACGAAACGACCTGAGCTGGTAACGACTCGACTCGGGAAACACGCGGGAAACGACACGGAGCTTCTCGCGCGCTCGTAACTGTTCCGAAAGAATTGGAAATGCACGCTCGGGCCACGGCAATAACGCTCAAACGCCCGCACTTATTCGCAAAATGCATAAAACACACCCGTCCAGATTATCTGTTTTATTCTGTGCGCGCGCGCGATAAAAACTCGCGCGGCCAGCCGACAGCTTTACTCCGGCGCGCCGTGCATAAATTAGGGCTGTAACAATTTTGAGAATCGTAAATCGCGGCCGCGCACACGCTGCGGCTTTTATCGATATCTCTTTGCGAGAGGCGCATTCCGGCGTAAGTAACTCACGTGACGACTAGATTTAAGGGGACGAGCGTTTATTACCGCCTTATCGCCGAGTATCGGCGAACAACGTGATGCGACCCGAACACGCTGATTAAAAACCACGGGCTCGTCATCGTCGTCATCGACATGTAGCACCGGGCGAAGTATGGAGCCGAAACCGTGATGAGAGATGTAGAAAGAGACAGAACGATGTGTAGATAGCAACTTAATATCCCCTGATAAACCCCTTTTTACCCAATTGCTAAATATTCTAGCAAGCAATTATTAACTTCAACACCATGTTCCATAAAATATTATCACACACTGCAAATTCAAATGTATTACTTGAGCTTTCCTAACACATTTCTTGCCGTTTTAACTCACGTTATTTAACACGATTAAACGTTTGAAATGACGTAACTTAAACGGCGAGAAATGAGCTTCACTCAAATATGTAATTTTCAGACGTTTATGTATGTAAAAATAACACATTCGGATTTGCAGCCACGGGTATAGCACGTTCGCTGTATATGGATGATACGATACGCGTGCGATGGACAATTTCACCCTCACATCGATATTAATATTAACAATGTTAATATTTCAAATATCACACGAAAAATCACCCGCGCTTCGTTCCCCACTGTTCTTTTCATGTTTTTCTTAGAAACTCCAATTTCACACAACATTTACATTTAACAATATATATATTTATAGATTGCAAAGACGTTCCCAACTTTTACGAATACATTACTATTCCCCTTCTTCTAGCAAAATTCACCCAGTGGAAAGAGAGTGGAAAGAGAGACTCGTGCCCGGATATCTATTCCTCTCTAGACCTTTCAACGCGAAAGATGAAAGAACTTTTGCCGTATGCTCCGTCGAATACGATACGTCGATGGTCGTCGGCGCCGAGAGCATATCGCTCCGGATGCCGCAACTAATTCTCGACTAATTCGGGCGGCAAGAGGCGGGCAATTAACGGTCGGGTCATGCCAAGTGGATTTACGGAGTCTTCGGTGGGGCGGCGCGATAATTCGGCGCGCTAAGTCATTAGCCCGCGCGATTACAGGCGCGAGGCGCGCGTAATGGCGCCGGCGTATTTCAGCGGGGCTCCTAATCCGCGGGTATCCCACGCGCGACTTCGCGTCTCGTCCGGAAGTCTGGCCGATTACACCCTCCCTTGAAAATTCTGCCGTTTGTCTCTCCTGCGCCGCGACGCAGGAATAATAGCGCGGATGAACGGCCGATCTCCGGCACGATTTACGAAGTGTCCCGTCCGACGGCTAAAGAACCCATTTCCCAGCCGACCGGCCGAGAAAGAGAGAGTAATTATTATCACGCGAAAGGATAAGGGGAGTTCGTTGGACTGGCTTCCGCCGCGATAATTTATACTTGCCACGATCCCGTGTAAGCAGCGGCCTCGCGCGCGCGATGCCGCCGAGAGAAAGGGTGGGTGCTCGGCGAGGAAAGAATAAACCTTAGGGATGGCGGGGAGACCGATGGACGACGGCGCACAATGCCGACTTTCCGCGTTGTCATTTGCATGCGCCTCTCGGCCGCGAGGATCGCGATCGCGATCGATACACCGGGGAAACCGGACGGTCGGGGCAAAGACAACGAGGGGAGAGAAGACTGATTCCGTCGTAACGGAGGAAACGACGGACGCGAGGAAGCGGCTCGTCGAAGCGCACGTTTCGTGCATTTTTACACCCGCGGACGTTCCCGCGTTGATCCCGATCAACGGTAAATTCGCGTTTCACGACACACCAGCTGTCCCGCGGGATCGCCGCAAAGCTCCCGGCGCGGAACGAAACGACGTGGAGATTCGGAAACGTTCGCGCCGGTGGAACGAGTGCGCGCGACTCGCGAGCGATCTCGTTCGTTTAAATTACCGCCGGCCCGTAATCACCTACTGACTTTTATCATCCGCGTAATAAACAAACCGCGATCGTAAAAGCCGCCCGTAAAATTCCGCCGCGGGGGGGGGGGGACGCACGCTCGGACCC